AACTCCTCCCACCTTACATATACCTAAACCTACCCGTCTCCACGCCCTGATCCCTAAACCCACCCATCTCCAACCCCCTAGATGTGGATCCAACCACGCCCCCTGGATCTTTGTTCTGCAGTGAGGGGCTCGCACTGGATAGCTGGCCAATCAGAGCACACCTCGCTTTTCAGACCGATGAGCTTTGTAAAAATCGACGCGTTTCAGAAAGGCGGGGCATAGAGGAGAAACAATAATGTACAGTATGTGGAAAATAATGTGTTTTTTTTTTACCTTAAACCGCATAACCACATTTCACCAAATACACAAAATAATGTTCTTTTTAGCAACATCATATGACCCCTTTAAACAATTAGTATCCTCAATTCCCAAACAATGAAACATTGTAATTAAAAGGAAAGTTGATGTGACACAGTGTTAAAAGTGCCTCTGTCCCAACTTTTTTGGAGTGCGTTGCAGTCATCAAAATCAATTTTGTTCATATTTACAAAATACATTTACTTTGTTCAGGGAGTAATGTTTTCTTTGTACTTTTGTCAATTAAATAAAAGTTAAAGAGAATGAACAAATCACAGATTCTTGATTTTATTGCATTTTTACAAAACGTCCCAACTTCTCTGGAATTGGGGTTGTACATCACATTACCTCTGTCTTTGTCCCATTTTTCTTCTCTCTCTCTCTCTCTCTCTTTTTTTTTTTTTTTCTTTCATTTTGACATAGTGATAATTTATTAGTGAACATCTATCACAATCAGGTAACTGATGTAGTCTATGTGAAAGTGTGGCTACGCGGGGTAGATTGATCATGCGTCGAACTCGTGAGTCGGGACTCGGGAGAGCAATAAAATAGGCCTACTTATATTTTGTGGGACGATCGCTTTTTTGTAATATTTTAAATTCATAGTATTGAAATAGTACTGGTAATAAAAAATAAATAGTTTTTAAAAAATCACTAATTTTGGCGCCCCTAGCATTTGCCTATTCCGCCTATGCCACGGGCCGGTGTCGTGCCGAATTCTGCACCCCTGCCAGATTATGCATCCCCTAGTATTGGTAGGTTTAGGAGTAGATGAGGGGATGCATAATCGGGCAGGGGTGCAGAATTCGGCACAACACCGGCCCTGTTAGGATGTAAAACCATGTGGCATGGTCCTGTCAATCTCAATGGGTCACAGATCTGTTATGAGGGTCTCTGAGGGGTTTAAAAGCAAAAATAAAATGCAACCATAGTTGTGCACAGTTAGGATTACTCAGTGTCTAAGCAGAAAACACTTCCAATTTCTTTTGAAGTTGATGTTAAAGTTGTGTGTGAAACTCTACAATATTATTACTTAAAATAATATTATAGTAATATTAATACTGAATTTCTTTGAGTTCAGTTTCACTACAGTCGATAAGTTAGATACACAGTTGCACTAAGACCACAACATAGGACGCAAAAACACTTGGACTATATTATAAAGTGGATCAACAAAAACAAAACTTTTTGCCTAAAAGCATATTTTATTTGTGAAGTAATTTTTTGAATCACATTCTTTAATGCTATAATGTGAGGATAAAGCAGCAAACTACAATTTACACCACAACAACAGTGAATAAATTAATGGACAGATGTCAAATAACGCAAACATATTGTAATTATCAACAAAGAAGTCCAGTAAGCTAAATACGTTGTTATTCTTTCGTTAAACTGTGTTTTGTTTATTCTAAAAAGTTGCTTGCTGACTGTATAAAAGCCCTAATTATGGCAGAAAAAGACGAAATTAGTCATAATAAAAAGTACCACTGTCTGCTTTCTGCGCATGCTCTGTGAAAGAGCGTGATTGCTGCGCAAGAGGTCATTATTGCGCTTAATTTACATCCAAATTATAACAACTTTTTACTTCCCCAAACAATCAGTAACAGCATTCAATGAAATATAATCTAGCAAATAGCCTCAAAATGTTTTATTCCTATAGACCTATTACAACCTTTTATTTATCTGAGTTTTACAGAAGTCAGAAGTGGTTGGTTTCACACTTTGCTTATTTACATATATACATTTACTCAAAATAATAAGTAAAAAAAAAAGCAGAAATCATCCAACTCATACTGAAACGAGCTGAGAGGGTTGGTTTCCGTAATCTTTTAAGGACTGCTGATATTTTCTTCATTCAGGAGCGTCTGATCGCACACAGCTTATGTGGGGATGGATTCAAAGTTATTCCTACTACTCCTTTGAGATCCAGATCATCTCCAGACACTCCAGGTGGAGTTGTGAAGCGGTAGCTCTGAAGAAGGGAGGTAAAGAACAGGAAAAGCTCCATCCTGGCCAAACCCTCTCCAAGACACATCCTGCGTCCTGTAAATGAGAGAGAGAGGCAGTTGAATGGTCTGTTGGGTTAAAATGCTGTCTATTCAGGCAGCACACTACAGTAGGTTTTGGAACAGAGCTAATGGGAGTTGGTGCTCTCCAGCATGACGTGCTGAGATGTAAATAGAACGGTAGAAAGACAGTAATATGCAGTGATGCAAACTACTCGACTTCTATGTCCAAGTATACCATTTGAATTGAAAATATAGTCTTTTAATCTTTGAATTAAATGTAATGATTCCAATGATTTGTGTAATTAATAAGTGAATGTGACAAGAAATATTAATAGAGTCATTTTCGACATATTTAGCATAGGCTATGTGTAATGGAGGCCAGCGAGTAGGTGCTGTGCAGGTAAACCTCACTCCCCTGATCTCAAGAGACGCACTAGCGACTGACGCTAGAGGCTGCAGTCTTTAGCCTCCTTGTTAGTGCGTCCGCCTCCCATGCCGGAGACCCGGGTTCGAGACCCACTCGGAGCGAGAACGAGGTGTGGCAGTGAGGACCCGGGAGAGAGGGGTCACATTGGTGCCATGACCCGGATGGGGGTTAGGGGGGTGAGCGTAACGGAGGCCAGCGAGTAGGTGCTGTGCAGGTAAACCTCACTCCCCTGATCTCAAGAGACGCGCTAGAGGCTGCAGTCTTTAGCCTCCTTGTTAGTGCGTCCGCCTCCCATGCCGGAGACCCAGGTTCGAGACCCACTCGGAACAAGAACGAGGTGTGAGAGAGGGGTTACATATGATTAAAGATGCGGTCACATTAGCAAAATGTTATGGGCAAAAAAAGGTCCTATAGGCGCGTCCCAATTTGTGTACTTATTCTATGGCATTTTGTAGTATAAATAGTGCGAGTATTGTGTTCACATTGAAAATTCCAAAAAGAAAAAGTGCACTTTAAATGCCAGGATGGTGCACTTAAATAAACGAAAAATTAAGTGTGAAATGTTGGAAACTGTCGCAGCTTTAATTACGAAACGGAGGAGGAGGGGCTATCAGACTCCAATTATGAATGACAAAATCACTGTATATAATTGATACACTTCACGGTTTGAGTACATAGTGTGTAAGTACAGCATATAAGTACATACAGTGCGTCATTTGGGACAGCCATTTTCAGTAATGTAGCAATGTGTGAAGAATTGCTTACACAGAAATCACTTTAAAACCCAGCAGCTTTCTGGTCAGCGTGGCAAATTTGTGTGAACTTGAATGTGAGTGAAATCTGCATGGAGAATTCATGCATGTGGATACCTATTGAAATTAATGGATTTCACCTGCAAAATTTTGCAGAGCTGGAATACACTTTTGGCCAGATCTGCAGACTGAAGAAGCCAATGCTAGTTGCTGAAAGTCAGAGCCAGTTTGCAGATTTTTGACAGTTGGTTATGTATTTGGACAGCTCGTTGGTAATGTATGATGGGCACAGACACTTTTTACTTTAGCTTTTTTATCTTATGCTAAAGATTCACTGTACCTGCAGAAAAGGGCATGAAAGCATCTCTCTTGATGAGCTGGCCCTTCTTATCAAGGAAGTGTTCTGGGTAAAAGCTGTTTGGTTTTTCCCATTCGCTTGGATCCTTCAAAACAGACGTCAGCAGAGGAACTACAGTGGTGCCCTAGAAAATGGAGAAAAGACCAAAACCTTGATGTTCAAGATGCACATGGTATCTTTACTAGGCCTTATACATATTAATTCCTCTGACTGACCTTCTTGATGAAGTATCCATTGAAGGTAACATCGCAGCTGGTTATATGTGGTAGACTCAAAGGTACTATGTTGGCCAGTCTTTGAGTTTCATGAATCACAGCATCTGTGTATGGTAATTTCTTTCTGTCTTCCACCACTGGCTGACGTCCACCGATCACTCTGTCAATCTCCTCCTGAACTCGATCTGCACACAAATCCCAAACATCCTTTGGACACCATTGAATTCAGCACTGAGGAAAAACTCTTGACATTACTGTGTTTTTACCCTGTATATGAGAGTATTTGGCCATAAGCATCAGACCCCAGCGCAGAGTCGTTCCTGTGGTGTCAGTACCAGCGACAAAGAGATTTGTCACCGACATCATAAGGTTCTTCTCATGAAAATATGAGTCCTTCTTGCCGGATTTCTGTCAAATGAAATCCACAAAATGAATATCTCTTCCCTTTACCAACATAATAAGATTTAAAACTCTTTCAAAATGACAAGTGCTTAATTGAATAAACTCAAAAAAAAAAAAAAAATGAAGGTTGACCTATTCGGATCTTGTGCAAACTACTAATTTTCATCTGCCCCCTGAATATTTCGATTATTACAGTAAAGGGGATCATTGAAAAATGACATACCTCGTCATGCTGTTTGCGGATGAGAAAGGAGTCAACAAATCCTCTGCGGTCGTGTGGATTCAGAGTCTCCAGAAGCGCATTGATCAACTTCGTCATCTGTTGTCTACTTTGGATAATATTGTCTACAATAATCCTTTTGTTTTTCAGGAATGGACCCAACCATGGAAATGTGTTGTAAAGCTAGAAATGGACAGAAGAGAAACTGATGTTGTCCAGAAATGCACTTTCAGAATGGGTGTTTTGTACATAAATAATAGTAGTATCTGTGGACAAAATTGGTTAACATATTTATTACACTCACCCACATAGAAATTGATCCACCAACCCGAATATTTTCGTTTGCTCTGTCGACCATTTCAGTGAATCGAGGGTCTGTGTATTCAAATCTGCTGCCGTACACGATAGATGAGATGATGTTTGACACAGCGTAGTTCACAGGCTGTGTCGTGTCGAAGACGATAGATGAGATGATGTTTGACACAGCATAGTTCACAGACTGTGTCGTGTCGAAGGGTTTCTCTGTGAAGAGGAAACAACAAACCGTCTCTCAATGGATCTTATAAACTAAGAGCATGATTGCATGTGTGTCTCAGCTTGTACCTTCAAACTTATCAAACTCTCCTTTCAGATACTGAATTTCCTCTATGATTTTCTCTTCACTTCCTCTCTTGCCCATCCCAAAGTCCCGCAGGTTACTGAGAGCGAAGCGTCGCATCTCTTTCCAGTTCTCTCCATTGGAAAACAGGATCCCTGATCAACACAAAACCATCAGACCATGAGTCCAAGACCACGAGCAACTCTAGCAGAGAATGATTATGCAATGAGTAGATTAACCTTGGACCTTTGGGACATATACAGTCAGTGTCAGATTGGCTAAAAGCATTGTATGGCAGGTTAATAAAGTATTAATCAATTCGCAAATCAATTTATATGCTACTTTAAATATGTAAAAAATTATTACAGCAGCTATTGCTGGGAACCAATATATACTCATTGATTAAAGACAGCATGCATTTTTAAGCAAACAGTCCCATAATCAAATGCATTTTAGGTTTTTGTTAAAGTGGCTGTTTTACACCAAATTGTGTATTCATCCTTATGAGCTCAATGAAAATCTCATTTTTTTTCAGTAGTCATACACATTAGAGTATATTTCATTGGCCTGGAAAGGCCACGAAGATCTGAAAGCTTGTGAAATTTCTAGCATTTACTATTTGTACATTCATTTGAGGCAGAAAAAAGAAGAATCTTACCATGCTCGTCATTCATTATCCTGAAACCAGGTCCAATATCTCTGTCGCCGAACTCTTCTGCATGGTTCACAAGAGCTTCTTTGACAGTTTTGTATCCAACTAGGACCACAGTTTTTCTGGGACCAAAAAACACTTGGAATATGTTCCCGTAGGTTTTAGACAGCTGGAGAACACAGAGAAAGACATTTACAAACAAATCTCAAAATATTAGGGTACTATTATTTTTAAATGTACCTCAAAAAAGGTGTCAAAAGGTCTCGTGAGGTCAAGGGTCAGCAGGTTCCCCAGCAGCGGCAGTGGTTTGGGTCCCGGTGGCTCTTTCCCTTCTTTCTGAGATTTGGATCCAGAGGAAAGCAAATACAAAACCAGAAGCATCAGCAAAGCTCCCAGTAATGTACCTGTGCTGGGAAACTGCAGCAGCGACTCGACAACAGCCATTATCTCTCTGAGCTCCTCAACTGATGCACTTGTATATTTATAGCTGCTGTATAAGGGAGGGACTTTATGTGGTCTTAAACAAATAAAAAAAGTCCATCAGAGGAAAGGGTTGGCGTGATTACATTAGCATGTATGTGACTCCCTTTAGTGAATTATTAATCTTCGTCAGCCTATTAATCTGAGACAGGAACATTATTCAAGCAATAAAGCAACAGAAGTAAGTCAAATTTAACACAATCCTAAGACCAATATTATTACACTTAATTAGGCTAATTATTATTTTTTGCACATGAGAAAAGAATAAGGATGCCCCATAAAAGTATCACAGTGGTCCATATAGGCTACTGTATGTCTGCGATTCTCCAAACCATTTGAAGCCAAACAGTAGGAAAACAACAGTCACAAATAACATTAAATAATATGACATTGTATTCTTAATGAAACACCGTTTTAAATATTTTGATATACATATTTACATTTAGATTTTATGTTTAGCGTTGTATAACTTAATGTCAGTTAACATGAAGTGATTGCATTCAACTCTTCATTACCTGCTAAATATCTATTCACCTTGCCCATGAGACACAAAGTTCATGAGTGCATCTCTCACCTCTGTCACACTTCAACCTGGAGTGACTTCAGACCTGCTTTGGCAATATTTTAGGTTGTAAAAGCATGTGTCATGTACACTAACTGGCCATGTCAATCAAATCAGCTCTCAAAAAATGGGTCACAGATCTGTTATGAGTGTCTCTGATGGTGTTAAAAGCAAAAATAACATGTAACTGATCATATAATTGTTCACAATTAGGATAACTCAACGTCTAGGCAGAAAGCACTCCCAATATCCTTTGAAGTTGATGTAAGGCTTGTGTGTGCAATCAAACTTTACAGTATTTTGTGTAAATGTATGTCACATAATAAGAGTCAAAATAGACATGTCACAATAAGATGCCATTCATCACCACCACCAAAAAACAGTGTTGCCTTAAAACATATTTTATTTGTAAGGTAAAATATGTGCGAGTTTTCAAAAAAGAAAGACCTCCATTATGTGAGGAGAAAAAAGCAAACTACAATTTAGACCACAACAATAGTGAATGAATTTATGGAAAGATGTCAAATAAAGCAAACATGTTATCAGCAGAGAAGTCCAGTATGCCAATTTTTTTCACTAAAATCATTTGTTACTCTTAGGCCAAACCCACTGGAAGGCAAGCCTGCCAAAAAAAAAAAAGCGTAACGGCTAATGCTAATGCTGCAGCTTTGGCGGTATGCAGAGAAGGAGACCAGACATAGATATGTACAGTATAGGTCAGGGGTGTCCAAACTACGGCCCGCGGATGAATTTTAAGCGGCCCGCAGCTGTCTTAATAGTTTATATTATATATGGCCCGCCAAGCATAATTTACAAAATAGGCCTATGCAGTTTCAAAATGTCAACACAAGATGGCAGCACTAAATTTTAGACCAGATGTAGCAGTAAAACGCGAGTGATATCAATTTGATAACTCATATGCGCTCTCATTTCTTTAGCGCACGCGAATTCCTAAACGCGTCAAAAGCGGAAGAGCGCGACTCGTTTGAACCGCGCTGCACGGACCGTTTTTAGCTCTGCCTAAAGACAGCGTAGCGCGAGCTCAGAACAAATGCGTTTACGCGCTGACTGATCTCGATCACGAGACCACTAAACAGCGCTGTGAGAAGCGTTTGAGTATGGGAAGCCAAACAACTCAAATGTGGGACGAAACAGCGCAGTATTAAAGTGTTCGCGCCGCGCTGACCTGTCATAGGCGCGGCTCAATGGACCGAGCTGCGCGACCGACTCGACAGCGCAGAGAGGACGTGTTTACTAGCGCCACCGAACTAACAGCGCGGCGCACTATATATATATATATATATATAGGTAGAAGCATCCGGCCCCCCAGTGTTTCCACATCGTCGAATTTGGCCCCCTTTAGGAAAAGTTTGGACACCCCTGGTATAGGTAGATGCCACATCGACCGCTCCAGACATGTCGACGCATCCGCCATCTTGGAACAAGCCTATATGTCGTCACTCGCAATAAAAATCTATGAGTTTTAAGATGCAACAACATTGCTCAGCATCTGGTTGTAAAAAACGTTTAAATTTAAATTCATAAAGAAACTTGATAAACTTTTACAGGTAAGAATGTGGTTTGTGATTTTAATATGTATTAACTAAATATTGCAGGTTTTTAACCTGAAGTTCCTTTTAAATGCCTTAGGTAATGGCTTCGTCTTGTTGTTGTGGTAGTTTAGCGAAAGCATCTTCTGAAGTCTACTGAAAATATAGATATTCATACATGCATATAACTACAGTTGCAGTACAGATGCACCGGCAACTTGAGTGTTCAAAGACCGGCTTTGACATTCCAATATGGTGGACGCCGGCTTACCGCGGCCCATAGAAACAGCAGCTAATATGGCATCTAGCTATACTATGAGACCAGAGGCCATTGTATGATAGGCTGATCACGTGATCCAAGTTAGCCGTTATACTTTTTCCAGTGGTAATGAAGTACTACAGACCCTCGCATCTCCCAATAATAAGGCAATCTCTGCTTAGGCTGCTTGTCTTTTCTAAAGCTATATTTTACGAAAGAAAAAAAAACAACGACAATATTTCAGTCGAAAAACTGGCACTTCGTTAACTGGTCCTCTGTCATAATCACGTATGAATGGCTGATGGTAGATTTTAACTTTTATCTCAACACAATTTTTGGTGTATCAATGTTAAATGTAAGGAATCACATTTCCACTACATAAGAAAAAAAATTATGAAAATTTCAAAATTATGGAAAAATTTGATGCCGCCGTATGCTTTCTGCCCATGCTCTGTGAAAGAGCGCTCGCACTTCTATCTTAACAATCAGTAACAACATTCTTCATTGATTATAATTTAGCCTCAAAATGTTTAATTTCTATTAAAGCTCTTATCTTTTAAGTTTTATAAACGTGGCTTTACACACATTGTTCATTATTATTTACATATATATTCACTCAGAAGAATAGGTACCGTAAAACAAGTGTAAAAATCACCCAAAATCATACAACAAGGTGAGTTTTGTTTCTGTGATTTCTGTTCATATTTTCTTCATTCAGGAGCGTCTGATCGCACACAGCTTGTGTGGCGATGGATTTAATGTGACTCCGACTATTCCTTTGAGATCCAGATCATCTCCAGACACTCCTGGTGGAGTTGTGAATCGGTAGCTCTGAAGAAGGGAGGTGAAGAACAAGAAGAGCTCCATCCTGGCCAAACCCACTCCAAGACAAACCCTGCGTCCTGAGAGAGAGAGAGAGAGAGAGAGAGAGGGGTTCTAACAACGCGCGTCAATGTAAAAATGATTGCGGTAGCCAATCAAATAAAAAAAGGCGGGCTTTACAAGGACGAGCGCGAGTCCTATCGTGACGCTTTAGGTTAACGGTTAAAGAGAGACATAAGTACCTATAAACATTTAATATTTGTTCATATTTGACAACTGTTTCACAATATGTTAGACGACTGACAGTACTGTATATCCAGTGATGCAAACTACTATTTTTGTTCAATACAGCGCTGATTCGTGTAATTAATAATTGTATGTGATGAGACAACAAACATTAAGGGAGCCATTCTGGATATTTTTAGCTTCGATTAAGGCTTTGATCAGGCATATGCTACACTGCACGACTTTTGCCCAGGTTTTTGCCCCGATTTGAAGTCTGTGGACTGGAGAGAAGTTGAAGGCAGTTGCTGAAAATTGGAAACTAAGTTCTGTCACTAATCAAGTTCAAATAGCCGAAGGTAGGTTAACTTTATTCTCAATACAATTTTTTGGTGTATCGATGTCAAATGAAGGCCTATGGAAGGTTGTTACTTAAAAAAAAAAAATCATGCCTGTTAATCTTAGTTATGACATGAAAATCAAAACTATGATGCGCAAAAGTTGAAATGAGATCAACATTTAAAAATACTGACAAAAATGTATAGTTATGACATTAAAAAATCGTTAAAAATCATGAAGACATAAAAAATTAATTATGACATAAAGGTTGTTTTCCAAGTTATATTCCAGCCTTAGGAGTGAATGTGTGCATTTATTAAAATAAAAATGCAATAAAAATAAAAAGCAAATGCATTGCTTCATAATAATTAGCTAGTTCTTTTACAGTTTTTCTTTCTTTTTCTTTACCCTAACAGCACACATACGTTCTCTTAACTCCCTTTAAATTATTTAATCATTTAATCCTCTGAAATTGAAAAGACGATTACTATCTAAAATTGCTTTGGTCCCCTGAATGTTCAAGACATGGTTATATAGCCTTGAGCTGAAGTTTCTCTGTACCTGCTGAAAAGGGCATGAAAGCGTCTCTCTTGACGAACTGGCCCTTCTTATCAAGGAAGTGTTCTGGGTAAAAGCTGTTTGGTTTTTCCCATTCGCTTGGATCCTTCAAAACAGACGTCAGCAGAGGAACTACAGTGGTGCCCTAGAAAATGGAGAAAAGACCAAAACCTTGATGTTCAAGATGCACATGGTATCTTTACTAGGCCTTATACATATTAATTCCTCTGACTGACCTTCTTGATGAAGTATCCATTGAAGGTAACATCGCAGCTGGTTATATGTGGTAGACTCAAAGGTACTATATTTGCCAGTCTCTGAGTTTCATGGATCACAGCATCTGTGTATGGTAATTTCTTTCTGTCTTCCACCACTGGCTGACGTCCACCGATCACTCTGTCAATCTCCTCCTGAACTCGATCTGCACACAAATCCCAAACATCCTTTGGACACCATTGAATTCAGCACTGAGGAAAAACTCTTGACATTACTGTGTTTTTACCCTGTATATGAGGGTATTTGGCCATAAGCATCAGACCCCAGCGCAGAGTCGTTCCTGTGGTGTCAGTACCAGCGACAAAGAGATTTATCACAGATACCATAAGATTGTCCTGGTGAAAGTACGAGTCTTTCTTGCCAGATTTCTGTCAAATGCAATCCACAAAATGCATATTTATTCAGTTTTTTATATT